GTTAAATTAACTGAATTGGAAATCCTAAATAGATATAAACAAGCCAGTTTTTTTTCGATACAAGCATTTACAATTGGTACAATTCTTTGCATTTCAGTTGGAGGTTTATGTGCAATTGGAGTTGGATCAATTCTTGGTGTTAGTAGCGTAAGTATTGTTTTGTTTTATACATTCAAGAAAATGATTTTTTTATTTATAAAATAGTTTCATTGATAATAACGTATATAGCTTAAAGAATTTCACGAGAAAATGAAAGAGACAATACCAAAGTATACACCAGGTTTACGTGAGTCTATAAGAAAATCAGAACAAGATGAATGGAAGTTAGAATTAGTACAAATGAAGGAATTTTTTTTTCCTACTTGATCTTGCTTCCTGATTGGGCGAGGTCTGTAGGCTAGAGCTCTATGTATCAATTCCGAAATTTTACTGTGCTAACATATTTATACTGTATATAACTGTATAATTTGAAATAAATGAATAATACGTAGGACATAAATTTATTTTAATTGATTTTGTATTTAGAATAATAATTGATTTTTGTATAAAAATCTGATAACAAAACGCGGAAAGGTGTACCAAGCTAGTGCGTCACAGTGGCTAGATGGTATTATAAAGTGAAAACAATAAACAAATTTCAAATTTCATTATGTATTCTATAAATTACATTCCTTTTCCCTTTTATTTGTTAATAATAACATTGCAAAACTTTAACAAGCTATTGCGAATAATCTAAGTCAAAAGATTGTTTTAACAAAGAAACACAAAAATAAAACAAATATATAATAATAAAAAGTAATGTTTTCATAACTTGCTATTTGAGGTAATATAAATAACACTGTCTATAATTAGTGTTTGTAGCAGTCAAACTAAATTTATTGACTCGACTAAACAAAATTCAAATTTTACTTAGCCGGTAGTATATAAAGTAATATGTATCTCGAATTTTCTGTAAAGTTGTTTGATTGTCTAATTCTCCTAATCTCTAGATTAAGGATCGACTATGTTTTACTTAGTCGACTAATTCGACTTTATCAAACTAAAGCCAAATCGACTACAATTATTATTTATAATAAAGAATTTTATATTCATAGTTTATTATGATAAAGATAGTCAAAAATTGATTACAAATTAAAATGTTCATTGAAAATATAATTACACTCAAAAACATCAAAAAAAAGATATTACAAATTCATAATTAGTTATTCGCGATCATTATTGTAATCATCTAACGAGACTTCGAATTGATTTTCATTGTGATCATCTTGTGACAGAGGACTATATCGATATCTAGAGCGCGAACTTGGTGTTGGAGTCCTCGAAAATATTTGCGAAATAAATGTCGGTACTCTGATCAATGAAATGAGATCCATAGCAACTGATAGTATGCTCGAAAAAAATGATGATATTGAACTTAGAGAGTCTCCAATACGAATATGCCTAATTTAAAGACGTAGAGCTATTAGAAACTGTAATCAAGCTGAGTTTATATGAAAGAGTACTAACCCTAAAGTCGAATATCCAAAATGACGATTGCGTTTTCGGTATATAACATATGCTCCAATAATAATAAGAGATGACAAAACAAGTAAACCCCAAAACAGAGCAGAAGATGCGCGAGGGCAAAGTTCTTTAGTTTTGGAAAAATTTAGACCGCCCGTACAATTGGAGATAGGAATCTTGCGATAGCTGTTGAAT